TTTTTTTTTTTTTTTAGAGGGAGTCTTGTTCTTGTTGCCCAGGCTGGAGTGCAATGGCACAATCTCAGCTCACTGCAACTTCCGCCTCCCATGTTCAAGTGATTCTCCTCGTCCCTATGCTGTATCCTCCAGAACCCAATCAAACATGTAAAGATTTTACTTTCCACTTCAGCAGTTTTCACCATTAAACAGTTCAGCAAGTATTTAAAATAGAAAAGGAACTGTGCTACTCAGACATTCACCGCCTCCTTGACATCTTTCTCTGGAGGCCTAATAGGTCTCTAAAATGTTTCAGGTTCAGAAAGAAACTTCTGAATTTCCCTCAAAGTTGTTTGCACCCAACTCTATTTCAGAAAATGGCCCTACCCTCCATCCCGTTAGTAAAGCCAAACATCTAGAAGCTGTTCTGGACTATTCATAATATTCTCCTACCTGAATTTCTGGCTGCCTCTGGTTTATGCCAGACTCTGCTTAAAACGCTCAAGGAATTTCCACTGTCATTGGAATAAAGTGCTGATTCCACCCTCTGGCCTACAGAGCCTTATGCTAGAGTGACTGCCTGCCTGCCACTTAGGCCCTTGTTATCCTGTGAGTCTACCAAGCTCTGCCAGCCTTGGGGTGCAGGGCCGCAGCTTCCTTCAGAAGTACCCTTCCTTATTTGCAGATGACTTGTTCCTCCTTATCATTTTAGTCTCATCTCTGAGGTCTTCCCTGACCACCCAAAATAAGGTAATGCCTTTTACCATCCTCTCTCTTCCATCTGCCCCCTGCCAACTCTCAGTGATATTACCTTGGGTTTGTTGTTGTTTAGAGCACTCAGCACTGTTGGAATTTTATGTATGTGTTTCTGTGTTTATTTTTTACTCTCCACGAGGATATAAGCTAGTGAGGGTAAGGATCTTTTCTGTTTACTACCATGTCCCACAGGCCTAACACAGTTGCTGGCATAGTAGCTCTATAATATGTATCTGTGGAAGGAAGGAATGGAAGGAGAACAGGAACAATGGAGAAACAAGTGTCATAGCAGATGATGCATCAGGGCAGGAAAGAGATATCAAGTCCAATAATAAGTGCAAACAACATTAATATATGGCTACACAATAATGGGCACTTTCTCTCTAGTTTTACCCACTTAATCATATTTAAACACGTGGCACACTCTAAGGAAAAAAATATGGATAAAATGTCAGCATACTTTAAAACTCAATATTTTGAAAACAAATTATATTTTAATTAATTGTAACAAACATAATTTTTAAATAATTTCTGATTTAATACTTTGATTAATCCCTCACTCAAATTTTTTGACTTTCAAAAAAATCAGAATGCTTTCAAATGGATTACTCTTTCTCTCCCTCTCTCTTTCCTTCCTTCCTTCCTTCCTTTCTTTCCAGAGTCTCCCTCTGTCACCCAGGCTGGAGTGCCATGGTGCTATCTCAGCTCACGGAAACCTCCACCTCTCAGGTTAAAGTAATTCTCCTGCCTCGGCCTCCTGAGTAGCTGGAATTACAGGCACCTGCTGCCATGCCCAGATAATCTTTTGTATTTTTGTAATGACTGGGTTTCACAATGTTGCCTAGGCTGGTCTCAAACCCCTGAGCTCAGGCAATCCACCCTCCTCGGCCCCCCAAAGAGTTGGGATTACAGGCGTGAGCCACGGTGCCCGGCCACTATCGTACACTTCCTATGTGCTTCTGTTATTCCGCTTGGTATGTTCTAATCATCATTAGAATATGTTGTAATATTGTTATACAATAATATAACACTAAAAATTTTGCACATTAAGATAAGACGTAGAAGAATTTAAGTTTTTCTTCTTGTAAACAATTCATTCATTAAATTATGGGTTCCATGAGGACAGACTATGGCCTATTTATCCGTGCATATCCATCAATGCCTAACAAATAGTAGACACTAAAATACATTGTTCATTGAGAGACTTATAGGAATTTGAGTTTTTCTTCTGCACACAATTCCTAAAAGTGTAAACTTATCTTTATTCTGCAATATTTTGAAAATTATATTCTAATTATATATCCAGACATTTCAATTTTTATTTATGAATTCAACAAACATTTAAATTCTTAAGGTCACCGATCTAGATTCAATAAGATTCCAACATAGTTTCCTAGGAAGGAACAAGAACATTTCAATCATATAATATGGAGAAAAATAAGTCAATATTTTAAACAATTAAGTAATATTAAGAAAGCAACACATCAATTTTATTCCTCTGTGAGCAGGTAAGAGGACAAAGTATTTCATTATTAAATTCCATGATTTAAAAATATGTGTTTTAGGAATCAGCATTTTACATAGATACCTAAGTCATTTTTAAACACAAATTATTTACATTCAGTCATATAGCTCCAATCTTATTGGACCAAAATGGCCAGTTGCATAATATGATTAAAATAGGTTAAATTCAACCTACTGACTGTATTTATACCAACCACTTTCTCCCTCATGCTTTATGTCTTGTAACCTGAAGTTATTTTATAAATTTGTTTATTGGTTGCTGCCTCTGCCACTAGAGTGGAAACTCCATGAGGACAGGCACATTGTTTGATGTATTTCCAGACTACATCAGTGTCTAGAACATAGTAAGTGCTTAATAAATATTTGTTCAAAAAATAATAAATGGGTGAATGATTCTTACACATTGTCCAAGAAGTATACATTTTTAAAATTGGAAAATGATACAATAAAACATGTTCCTTTGAGTGATTTTTAAGAACCCCCCTGGCCTTGACAACTGTTATGCCTGTCAAAGCAAGTACATTAGTAAGAGAGACTATTTTAATATTCAAAAGGTTGTATAAAATATTTTCATTTTACTAAACTCTTTAAAAAATCAAAAACACAAATCATTGTTTTACATATTATAATGTTTATTATAAACATACCTACAGAATGTATCATTCTCTTTGAAAATTTTGTCTGTCATGTATTGGTTGTTTAATTCTGGCCAATTTATTTTATTTTTCCTAAGCTTGTCAACTTTGTGGTAAAATGGGGATAAAATATGCAAATTATCTAGCTGATAGAATAAACAAGCTAATGTGCAAATAGTACTTAGCACAGTAGTAGTAACAATAGCAAAGTAATCGGAGTAAAAAAATACTACCTTAGAATACTACCTTAGAATTAGAAGAAAACTTAGAGCTTCTCATTTCTATCCCCCATCTTTGAGGCAGGCATCCCCTTAATAGATGCTATAACTAGGGCACATGCCACTTCTGTGTGACCACCTCCAATGATGCTGAGCTCTCTACCATGGAGGCAACCAATTTCATTATTATCGAGTTTGATTATTGAAAGGTCTTTCTTTCTTTGAAGACTAACCACCATCACAACCTCCTCCATAATACCTAATATTTGATCATAGGTTTGTTTTCTATGACCACACAAAGCAGCCTTATTCTTCTTTTGATTTAACTGTTTGAAGACTTTGATCACAGAGCTGAAATTCCTCATATTAAAGAGGAAAGTACAAGAATTCAGTAAAATCCAGCATTGCAGATGTGGTCTAACTGAGGTGTGCCTATCTAGCTCAAAAGACAGTGTCCCTATCATACCTCTTTTAATTCATGCAGTTTCCAATTAGCATTTTGGGGTAGATACATATGCATGTGTGATTGTGTGTGTTTTGATTGAGCACATCACCAGCTGATTCATTCTTTTAGCTGCTGAATCGTCTAAGTTGTTTTTCCATGTACTAGCTTTTAATGATGTTTCTCTATTCTGTACTTGTGACACTGTTTATTTGGAAGCATTTTCTGTTTGGTAGGTAAACACAAAGCTTAACATTTAATTCCTCATCAAGTTGTTCTTACTATATTTAACTTATTTTTTCAGACTGAGGAATTGTGACAATTATGGCTTTCACATCTTTGCTCCCATTACCTACAGGTAGCTTTTTCCCCATCAGTATCTGTTAAATTCTTCAAATATTGTCCAAATGCTAGTCTTTCCCTGAAGTATTCTCACTGAAATAACAAATGTATGTATTAAATAAACTGTATTGAATTTTTGAAAGTTATACTACATGGCATGAGAAAAACAACCTCAAAATGCTGTGACAAGAAAATCATAAATAGTTCTTTAAGTGATGCTAAGACACAGACTAAAAAGAAACAGATACAAAACATGGTAGTAAGAGAAGTTGAGTACAAGGGTTTTTTAACTTCTCTGGATGACCACAGTTAGTTTTCTACCAAATTATATTCTATTAGGAATCATATAAATATGGGTAGGTCTTATTTAAGAATCTATTCCTTCACTTATAATATGGTTCTGATATAGTGGAAGAAACACGCAATTGAACAAGCTGATTGAAGTTATTTAGTCATACAATACAATTAACATTTGCCAAAGATTTAAAGATATTTAGATGTGCTATCAAGTATATTTACAAATTCGAAAGACAACATGATACAGAGGTACCAGCAGGAAGGTAAATGTAAAATCAGCTACAATTTACAAGTTAAAAAGTTATTAAATATTTTAATTAAATATAAAGTAACAGGAAGCAAAGATGAATTAGACAGACATCAGCCCTAAAAGATTCCACTAATTGGTGGGAATAGAATAGTGTGAGTCATTGAGTATTGCAGTTAAGGAACATAGGCTCTAGATTTAGACAGACTTACATTTGATTCCAAATACTAGGCCTTAGTAGCCATGAATCTTTGGATAAGTTAACCTAACTTCTCAAACCTGTTTATTTTAAATCTGTAAGATGGTTCTGAAAATGAAAATTACTTATTAAGAGTTGTTTTTAGAATTAAATGGGATAAAGTATAAAAAGTAGTTATCACAATACCCAAAGCAAAATAAATTTATAATAAACATTAGCTACTATTATTGTTCTTACTCTAATTCTTGTCAGAGACATCTTTATTATCACTTACTGCTACTACTGCCATTCCTGCTAGTGTATGATGAGGAGTGGTAATAAGTTAGCCTGAAATCAGAGGTACACTTTGAAAAGGAAAATAGCACAGCAGGACTGTTAAAGGGCAGAAAGAAGAGCCAACAGTAAATTCTTGCTATGATCCACCCAAGAGCTGTAGAGAGCTTTAGAACAGCGGCAGTGACAATGAAAACAAAAGTAATATGGATGCAAAATAGTGAATAGCAATTACTTTACTAATGCATCTTTTAAAAATAATAACAAACAAGCTATCTAGAATTCACTTGATGTCTTTTTCAACAACATCCATTCTAATTTCCAATTTGCCTTAGCAGGAATGATATTTAGTCTTTTACATTACTCTGAATTCTTTGTTGGAATTATCATTAACTACTTAATGATGTTCACGGCTTTAAGAAACACTCCACATTACATTATTTCAAAATGTCTTACACAAGTATTCCTTAGAATACCTACAGCAGAGAGAAACAAATGATATCAAACAAACAAAATGAATAAATTACTCATCTTTTTCCAGTTTCCATAATTTAACTACTTGGTAATCAGAGAACTGAAACATTAGGGTTAATTGAAAAAAATGGCAAAAAAAGAAAGGACTTTTGAGTACTAACAAAATTTGAAAGATCTTGTTGAAATAAAGATTATAATTAACTTTAGATTTCACTATAAAACACTATTTTTTGTCTTTTTTTTTAATTTAAGCATACTTTTAAAGTATCCCTTTCCACTAATCTTTAATTATCTAGAATCAAGTGTTATGTGTGATTTGCCCACAGAAATTTGTAACAGAATTTGCGAGGGGAATGATACCAGAAATGCTGATTAGCAGAACGTGGAAGGACTCTAATATACTAACTTTTCCAGAAGACTGAATGCCTTTGATCATAGCCAAGCAAACCATGACCCAGGCAGCCAACAAGCAGACGGTCATCTTCCAGTTTAAGCCCCCACTTTCGGAAATGGAACTTGAAATATTCAGTGCTTCCCTGTACCAGTAATAGGTAGTGGCAGAACTTTGTTCACATTCTGGTTCTACAACTGTAGAAAGAAAGGTAACACACAATCATTTCAGAATATAAAGAGCAATGAGACAATTTTTTTCCAATAAACCTATAAGTGAGTTTTTAATGCTTTCTAGAAAAGTACTACTATTGTATAGCAGCATGGAAATTCACAATGAACAACAAAAAACTCAACTTTGCAAAAATTTGAAAAACCAACAGAAATGTATCCTGTTGTATTATTTCTTACGCACTTCTGCAGTAAGAATATGTGAATTTCCTATTATTATGTATTTATGTATTTTTGTATTTATTTATTTATTTATTTTTGAGCTAGAGTTTCGCTCCATTGCCCAAGGTGGAGTGTAATGGCACAACCTAGACTCACTGAAACCTCCGCCTGCTGAGTTCAAGTGATTCTCCTGCCTCAACCTCCTGAGTAGCTGGGATTACAGGTACATGCTACCACACCCAGCTATTTTTTGAATTTTTAGTAGAGACGTGGTTTTACCATGTTGGTCAGACTGGTCTCGACCTTTGACCTCAGGTGCTTCACTTGCATCAGCCTCCCAAAGTGCTGGGATTATAGGCGCGAGCCACCACACCTGTCCTCTTATCAAAGTAAATTAAACAAATCAGCTTAATCACCCCTACTACCCCTAGAATTGTTGGATTGACTCCCTGAGGAAGCACTGTCAAATATGCTAGACGCTGGCCACCCACCACATGTAGCATTTGAAATAGGGCCAGCCTAAAGTGACATGGGCTATAAATGTAAAATTTAACTAAATTTCAGACTCAGTATAAGAAAATTATTGTAAAGTATTATATTAATAACATTTAATTATATGTTGAACTGATAATATGTTGATAGATTAAGTAAAATATTTCATCAATTTGTTTTTACTTTCTTTAAGCATGTTTACTTAAAAAATACAAAATAGACCTGTACATTACAGTCTATGTTTACTAGACATGATTGCTATAGGTGACTCCTCTTTATAATATTTATATTATATTACGGGATTTTAAAAAATGATGGGAAAAGTATGAAACAACAGAACCAAAGACATAAAAGCAACTATTTCCATTCAAACGAGTTCCATGCAAAGCAACTATTTAAAATTCTTCTTTCTGTCCCCTTTGTGTTAGCTTTAATGAAAATGTAAGGCATCAATCAGGGCATACAAAATAAAGATTATCAAAGTTAATAAGTGAAGGCTTATAATATTTTACCCTAATATCATAGGGCAGAGTAAAATAACTTGGAAAAAGCTAGAAAAATTAGATGGTGCCAAAAGTCTACCTCTCAAGAGTATGTCAATCCTGAAAGTGAGAAAAATCTGTTATAATGATAATTTTGACTGATGTGTCCATATTATTTTTAAAAAACAAAAAATCTTGAAAGCTTGTGCCTTTGACACTCTTATAATCTTTAAATACCAAAACACTATATTGTACATATCTTACAAGTGTGTGAAGCATTTTTCACCAAAGGACACTGATCCCAAGGTAGAGGTTGCTGAAAAGACTGAGAAAAATAAAACAAACTCCAGCCAATTATGACGTTGTAGTAGAGAGCCACAAAATAGCACACCTGCAAAATAAAATAATGAGATTCCATTAAACCTCTCATGCATCGTCCCTTAAAACAATGAGATCAAATGTATAAAATTCTATTTAACATTTTTAAATCCTCTTCATTTTATTTTTTATTTCGAGCGCATTATCTTTTCTAAAACGTTAATGTCTTTCTCAAGACTTACAATAGGCATTAACAACACTGAGCTATATCAATATTTATAGCTTGCTTTGTGTATTAGTTCATATGCCAGTAATGTTGTCTAAAACGTGGTAAAAGAGTTGTTTATTAACACACACTCTGAAGTTTCATTTATAATTTCAAAACCTGTAAATATTATAGCATACACCATACCAGGAAACTTACTACACAACTTGCAAATCCAATCCCGCCCAGTTTAGGGCTTATATAATTCCATACACCAATGCTGCCTCGCCGAATTCTTTGACCCACAGAGAGTTCCAGGAAAAAAAGGGGAATACCTATTACCATAAGTAGTATTAAATATGGTAAAAGATATGCACCTAAAGAAACAAGAACAAAAAAAAATAGATTATATTTTCAATAGTCACAGTAGAAAATACACTAATTCAGTTTATCTCATTAAAGATATTTGAATTACTATATAGTGTAATTATAGAGAACTTTGAAGAAGACAGAATTCCATTACTTTGCACTTTCTAGACTGTAAAACTTGAATTTGATTGCTACAAAGAGTTTACGATTAAAAAATAATTAGGATAAAAGTAAGGCTATTAAAAGTTTTAGTTTAATTTTATTTAAAGAGTAAAACAGTTTCATTTTTCATAAAAATAATAATTTAAAATTCATTCTTTTCTGGGGCAGGTCTCACAAATTCCTATAAGTCTTATTCACACAATGTTTATAAACTCATTTATTAAAATTTATACAAGCTCATCGAAATAATACATTGTAAATCAGAAAAATTCTAGTGGATGAGATTTTATGGCATTAAAGCTGACTTTTTTCCCCAAATAAAATAACATCATAGAAGAAGAAATGTCTGCTTAGACTGAAAAACGAAGAAAAAAAAAAAACAGGAAAATAACTTCTATCAGAGACAAATGTCATTTTTCCCGTAAATACCACATAAAAGAATAACACAAATTGCTTTTTGTTTTCCAAAATTATCAGAGAAGGTGGTGAGAGTCATTAAGAAATTGATACATTTAATATCTATTGTAAAAATGCATATACTATTATCCTTTTAATAAAGTTTCCATATTTCAAAAAGTATTTTTAAGTTAAATCACAAATTAAGACATATGACTATGACTAGTGATTTTAAAAGGTACCTGAATAGTTCGACAATGTTAATACTAGATTCTATTAACTAAATTAAAAAAGATAAAAGATAAATGTAAAACCTTTACTCATTTCTTTGTTTCTTTCTTTCCTTTTTTTTTTGAAGACAGAGTCTCAGTCTGTCACCCAGGCTGAAGTACAGTGGTGTGATCACTGTTCACTGCAGCCTCAAACTCCCCTGCTCAAGAGATCTTCCCACTTCAGCCTGCGGAGCTCATTCCTACATGGGGCTACATACGCAAATTATTATTAAATAACCTCTGAGCTAGACTTTTTACATTCCAATTTCTAATTTGCAGTTTTGTCCAACTAGATACTGTTAAATGTCATAATCAATGGTAACTAATTCCTATTTTGTACAAAGAGGCTCTTATTATACATTTCCTACATATTTATCATATGTTTAATGGCACTGAATAGATTTTGGAATCTATTCAAATTGCCTTAATGAAATGTTTAGGGGAATACAAATATTTAGTGAGTAACTGTATTCAGTTGAACCAGTAAAATAATGGATGTTTTCAAATTATTTATCTCAGCATCTATATATCTCTGTAATAATAATTATATACAAGAATTTTCCCTTATAGTATTTGCTACATAATCTGTACCTTTCTATGACTGATTTTCAGTCTTTCATATTTACTTGATTCTAACAAAATTATACAATGTAAAACATGGATGCATGAGCTTAGAAAACAAAACTCGAATTTTAAAATGATTAGCAACATTCAGGAACTGCTGACCTGAATGTTGTCCCCAAAGACTGAAAGTAAATGTTCACACCTGTATTAAATCTTAGGTTATGAATGGGTTTATATGCATGTTAATGAATAAGAAAAAAGAGAGAGAGAGAAATTATGATTAGACTCATTGGGGATCTTTTTTCAGTTACGTGTGCATGACATACTGTTGGATACTTAGACTTTTCTTCTATCTCAAATTCCTCTACAGAAAACAGAATGAAGATTCCTTAAAGAGCTAAAAATAGACCTTACATTCGATCCAGTAAGCCCACTCCTGAATATCTACCCAAAGAGAAAGAAGTCATTATATGAAAAAGATACTTGAGGCTGGGCACAGTGGCTCATGCCTGTAATCTCAGCACTTTGGTTGCTGAGGCTGGCAGATCGCTTGAGCTCAGGAGCTCAAGACAAGCCTTGGCAACATGGTAAGGTCCCAGTCTCAACTTAAAAAAATACAAAAAAATAGCTGGGCATGGTTTGCATGCCTGTGGTCCCCACTACTCAGGAGGCTGAGGTGTGAAGATTGACACTTGAGCCTGGGGAGGGGCAGAGGTTGCAGTGAGGTGACATTGCACCACTGCACTCCAGTCTGGGTGACAGAGATC